TAATATTTAATTTAAAATACATACGTTATGTCATATTTAAATTTGCGCGATTGATAATTTATTTATAGATAGATTATTGCTTGTTTGTATATTTAGTTATTAATTTAATTATTTACAAATTTATTAATATTCTTAAATTATGAAATAAATTCACTATAAATAGTATTTTAAAATAAAAATAATTCAAATAAAAAATATTTAACATAAAATTCTTAAAAGAGGCTAAGTTATAGAGCTTTAACGTATGAACAAAACTATTTCATGCATGAAAGACAATAAATCCTCCAATTATATCTTTTAGTTTAGAATGACTAGCAATTGTTTCCTCCAATTAATCTTATTAAAGTCGCTAGAATTGGGAAAAATAAGCATTTATTAATTAATTAAGAAAGGAGACATTATACTTATTCTCCAAGTGAAAAATTTAGATATCCAAAACTTAAAAATGTTTATTTAAACACTATATATCCATACCAATTAAGGATCTTCCTCCAGACCCCCAAAAACTTTTACCTCATCTGTTAATTAGTTTTTGACAAAAATTTATTTATTTATAATAATTAAATTTATATTCCATATCACAGTAAATTAATATTAAATTTAAATATATAAAATTAATTGAATTTATAAAATACTGACAATAATTTTAGGCTGAATGAGTGTATGATTTTAATGAAAAATGTGAATATATATTAATCAAATTAATTATTCATATATTTTCTTTTTAGCTACTCAAATTTATTAATTAAATACTTATTGATTAACTTTCATAAAAGAAGTTTTATCACTATTTAATTTCTTTCATTGATTTTAAATACACCTAGATTACAGGTTTTTTAATAAAACAAGACTTAAAAATCCTTATTTAAAATCTAATAAATAAAAGAGAGTAATTTAAATTATAAGATTATAATAAAACAAAAAAGATATATCAAAACTTAGTTAAAATAGTAAAATAATAAGCAAACAAGCAAAGTAATTTAAACTAATTAGGCTATTTTGAAGCAAATAAGTTAAGTAAAGAATATGAATTAGAATTAGTTAAAAAATTAAACTTAAGGATTAAAGTTATTTTATATAAATGATCTTTATGAAGTGGTTAAACAAAGCAAAAGAAATATTTGTTTTGCGTTGTTTTGCTTTTGCATTTAGTAACTAATACTAATTTAAATATAGATAGATGAAGCAACATATAGCAAATTATTCACAAATGATAAAAGATTATCTAAATGGGTACGTTATTTTTTTTTCTTAAAAGAGTTAGCGTATTCTAATGATTCATAAAATTATTTAAAATGCTTCATTTTTACTTTCTTAGCCCTTAACTTTTGTATATTGATTTATCTATTCATCTACGCTAAATTAAGTAGCAGAATTAAAAAGGATTCTTTTTTGAAGTTTTCTCAGCTGTTTCAGTGCTATGAGTATTTGATAGCTATCCCTTCTCTTTATTTTTCTATAGTCACATATTAATACTATTTGTCCCTAATTAACCTTTTCATAACCCTCTTTTTAGGTTCATTTTTATTTTATTTATGGTATCATTAATAACTTTTCATTTTAAATATTAAATAAGCCTCTTTATTCATATCTGTGGATTATGATTACACTTTTTATAATGAAGATATTCTCTAAAAAAGTGACTCAGTTTTAAATGTATTTTCTTTTTATTTAGACTTAACTTTAATCTTCGCTGGTTACTTTTTTCACCTCTACTCAACTATTACTGTTTCCTTTATAACAAACATTATGAAACTCACCATTATTTTAAGGACGCACGCATATTTTAATAAAAATATATGTAGATGGTAAATAATTCTTATATTTTTCAGGTTAAGTATATCTTTAAGCATGATTGTCTATAGTCAGAACTAGTAGAATTTAGATCTTATTTTCTTTTTAGCTATAATTATGTTTCCATTTTGCTACAAGCTTGGCAATGTTGTTGTTTTAGAGTGGTACACTTTTATAAATTTAAATAACACTGATTAAAAAAATGAATCTATTTATTAGTAGGTTTTTTAATTTTTGTTAGGCTAAAGCTCTAAAAAGGTAGACCTGTTATGTAGATAGTTAATGGAGTCAACAAGATAAAAAATAAAATTATCTACTGATTTTTAGAATCCTAGCATAATATTTTCTTAATAACTTCTATTATAAGGAAATGCACTTGATTAAAAAAAAATATCAGTAAACAAACTAATTATTTTTAACATTTAAAAATCATTTAGTCATTTTAAATTATACCAAATTATTTTTTAATTAATTAATAATTTATCAGAAAGTAGAATAGATGGCAATGATTAATCAAAAGGCTTAATTAGATGCATAATGTAAATAGGATGATGTAAGCTATTTTATATCTATGAATGCGATTTAATAAATTTATTAAGAATCTGTAACAAACAAATAAGAAAAGTGGGCTCTTGAAGAAATAGATTATTCTTATTTGACTTTTCTTGCAATTGTAAATAGTAATTAATGTGCAGCATATCTTTCAATTCTGAATGCAAAAACAAATAGAAAACTAGCTTTAGGAATCAAAGATTAGTAAAAGCTATAAAATATAATCAAAATAACTGAAATTTAATGTCTCAGTTATAATATAAGATTTAAAAATAAGAATGAGGATTTTTAATTGTGTAAAATATTATAATTTGAAGACGACTTAAAAAATATCAAACTTTCCTATTGCGAATGTTTGAGTTTATACAAAATTATAATGGAAAAGCTACTATTAAATTTTATAGAAATAAATGAAATGCTTGCACTTTTAAAAGAATTTACAGAAAAAAGAAGCAAGTTAGAAAGAAAGATTATTCAGTAGTTAAAATACAATCAAAGTAGCAAATATTTAAGAAATATTTGTTTTGATTTTGATTATTACATGCTTCACAAGTCGAACTTGTTAAAATATTATGAAAGAATGAATAGCTAATCAAATTAAAAGTAAAAAAATAAAGAGTACTATGATGAATCAAGCTGCTTTTTGTTTGTATCTCTTTTAGATAAGTCTTTTGGAGTTATTAAAAAAGTTAATGATTCTTTAATTAAAACGCTTGGTTTCTCTGATAAGTAACAAATATAAGAAAAATCTATATTTGAGCTCTAAATTTTACCTCAAAGAAATTATTAATAGGAATATATATAATAAAATTCATTTTTAGAAGAAGTAATTTCTCCAATTTACAATGATATTTAAAACTTGCCTCTTTTTTTAGCTAAACACTAGGCTGGGTATTGTGTGCCATTTTAACTAAAAGTTCAAACATAAGTTTTAGATTATGATGATTTTGGTTTGGCTATTTGGGCAAAACCTGTTAAAGGTGAATCTATCTATTTATTATTAGATGATGAAAATCCAAATAATATTAAACTTGCAAATAAATTATTTTATAAATAATTTAAAACCATAGATACCTCGTAATTGAAAACAATCAAAATAGATAGTTTGATTCCCATAATTCATTATTTGATCTAGCTTTCTAAAAACTAAAAAAATACAATAAAATTCTAAACTGTACTCATTCAACCAAATTAAGATTTCTTATTAGGAAAATCTATTTTTAGTGATGCAAATTTCTTAAATTATTTAAAGTATGCTGATATATTTAGTATAACTGTATCTTTTTATTTCCTAAAAAAATTTAGCTCTATTAAATCAAGTACTTACTTAATAATAGAAGACATATAACCCCAAAATAATTTAAAGGAAAAAAGTAATTTATTGTAATTCTACTAATAATAAATCAAAGAAATCTGCAA